AGCTGCCCACAAACACAGGAGGTGCTAGGGAGTGTGTTAATCCCTGGCAGCCTTGGTTGCAGCAGCCATCAGAGCGGAGTTCATAATCCTAAGGGGAGTAAAGCAGGCAGACAGCAGATCTGGAGCTTCAGGAGAGAAGACTTTGTGTTATTTGGGGAATTGGTAGATGGGATCCTGTGGGAGGTAGCTCTGAAAGGCAAGAGTTTGAGAGAGTTGACAGGTCTTCAAAGAAACCTCCTCCTAACAAGAATTGCCCATCCTTATACTGAGGAGAAAAAAAAAAAAAGTAGATTGTCAGGAGAATGACTTGGCTAAATGGGGAACTCTTTGAGCGTTGATGTAAAAAGGACATAAAAAGGAGACTGAAGCAAAGATAACCTTGAAAGGAAGAACACAGACATACTGCCTGGGCATGCAGGGCTCATGTTGGGAAAACGAAAGCTCCACAAGAGTTGAAACTAGCAAGGGACATGGTGGGCAACCAGAGTTTCTGCTGCTACTTTAGCAATAAAATAACAAAGAAAATGTAGAACCACTGCTGAGTGAGGCAGTTATTTGTGATAGCTGCTCAATGCCCTTTTTTTCTCAGTCCTCACTAAAATGTTCTCCCAAGCCATTGGGCCTAGACTTAAAGAAGCAAAGGAACTATCTGTACTGCAAGAGGATTCAATCGTGTATCTCTTGAAAAACTTCAACCCAAGCAAATCTGTTGGACTTGATGGGAAGCATCCCAGAATGCAGAGAGTTGGCTGATGTCACTGCAAGGCACTTTTTTTTTCCAAAGGCTGTGGAGTTAGGATGTTGCAGTCTAGGTGGGTGGAGAACACTGCTGCAATGTGAGGCTCAAAGGGTATTGGCTGATGGAAGGACATGGGAAGCTGTCATAAGACATGTTGCCAGAGTGCTACAGAAAAGCAGTGAAATAAACACATTACCCAATCAATAATATTTTGCAGATTACTATTTTTGCTGTAGTAAGTTATGGTATATTAATTTAAGGCACACAAATGTTTTTAGAAGCAAGTCTTTCATTATCATGATGTGTCTAGGTGTAAGTATCAAGTTTACAGAAACTGTTTTTAGTAACAAAGTTGCACTATAAGGTATTGCTTAAAATTCTTGATTATGTACCACAATATTAGCGTTACCAGGAATAGATATCCTATTCTTGATTATGTAATCAAGAAAAACTTTTGAAAATAATATTCAGAGTACAAACTACTTTTAATCAGCAGCTAAATACCAAGATACTGGTGCTGATTACTTCATTGCTCTAATGACATCTGTAATGGATTCCAAGTGTGGTGCCTGATTGCTTCCCAGCTGATCAGGATTCTGCTCATCACTTCGAGCTGCTGGAATTCTGAGATTTCTTGGAGTTCCTCTGCAAAAGGCTTCAACCTTGCTTCAGCTAAATAGCTAGAGTGTGTGCTTTAAAACAGTCATGACAAGCCTTAAATTGAGCTCTTCATGATAAAACACATTAAGAGAGGAATGTTTGTGTTTTTTCTTGTCCTTTTTTTTTTTTATTGTCAGGCACTGATTATAAAGTAATGTTATCCAAAGAACCTGATAGACATCAGCCAGTGGATCATAAAATAAGCTGAACCTCAGCTGATTGTAACCATGCTGCAACAGTAACTATGATACACTTTCATTAACCCTGATTTTAATATAGTTTTAATATAGCTGATATACACAAGTGATTTACAAGGTAATTTGAGATATTAAATAAGATAAGCCAAATTCACAACTGTTAAAATTAAATCAAAGTCTTGCCTTATATAATTTTTAATTTCTCCTACTGAAAAAAAGATTTTGTAATCCTTCCTTCTATTGAACTAACATGATAAGGGAATTAGCACAGCAATTATTTTTTGAGAGACTGCTCTGTGGAGAAGCATGAAATGGCTGCAGTACCATACCACTACAAACATGCAGTCAGAATGTTTAAATTCCTCAAGGAAAAGAAATGCAAGTATTGGTCTTCCATTCTGGTCTTGCATGCAAACAATTATGCATTCATGGTATACCTGAAAAGCTATTGGTTATAACAAATCTTAGATTCCCTGTTTTCTCTTACTCATTAATGTACTGCTGCAGAAAGACTTAACATTTTGATTTTTTTAATAACAAATGCCGAAAGTGTTGAAAAAAATCAATATTCTTATTATAATTTTAAAATTGAACTCTTTCTGAAATTTTCTTGAAGTTTAATCAGTTGCTGACTTACTTTTTTATTTGTTTGTGGTTTTAAGTTAGAATTGTTAAAAGAGATGATATATTTGTAAGGTATGAAATCTCAAACACAGCATTTGTATGAGAATTAGTGGAAAGAGACTTGTGCCATTTGGTAATGGAATATAATGGTTCTATATCATTGTTTTTGTTTTAAAACTGAGCTAGAACTGGTGCAGAAATATACTAGAGTTTCAAACATGTGCCATCGAAGAGAAGAAATTTAGGAGCTCATTCCTTTGTGAGTCACCTTGACCCCCCAGAGCTTAACATGAAATGTGGCAGAAAAACAGAAAAAGTGACTGCAGTATTTCCAAGTTTTCCAGAAACTATCACCGCAAGGAACCTGAAAAGGTTTCATTTTTAACATCAGGGGATTTCCATTTGATAAAGAATATGCAGCAAATAAGTTCTTATAAAGCCAACAACTTGGCTTCTTAATGCTGGTGTCTTGCAATGTCTCATACAGTAGCAGCTATTAACAAGCCCCACCAAAGAAACTGTTAATATGTATCTTGATAAAACACTGTTAAAATTGTGGGTTGTCTCTCTTTAAAATCTATTTTCTTAGAGTTTTTATTTAACCTTTTTTTTTTTGTGATTTGAATGAGTTTCTATTCCAGAGACTGAGAGAAAAAGGTAGGACAAAATCCTTTGAAAAGCCTATTATTTCACTTCCGAAATAGACATCCATACAGTTTGTTTCAAATTCCTTTAAAAGACACAGATTCTGATTTACCTTCTATGAAATATTTTTTTCTGACTCAGCGTTTCTATCCCCCCTGCTGTATCACACGTCTCTCTGCCCTTTGGGGCAACTGATCACAGTGTGCTAATCCCCAGGTATCTCTGCAGAGAAGAATGATTCGCTTCTATCTCAGGCTCTCATCAGTTTGGACAGAAAGACAAATGGCTGGCTGTAAAGTCGTATTTATATGTTTACCAACTCACTACACAGAAAGTCATTTGTATTAATACAAAAGAAGCAATGAAATGAGACAGTAAATTGTTTCAGCTGAGGACTAAAATTCCTTTTAGCAGTATATTTCCTACTATTTCCTTAATGACGTGGTAACACAGGCTTATTAAGTATTAAAGAATATAATTTAAATCAACAAGAACTTATTAGGTGAATTAAATAAATTATAGGAGCTCAAGCAAGTTAAAAACTGCTCTTTCTTGCAATTTCTTGGAAATTGCACTAGGCAGCTTCAAATATTTATACAATGCATGGCACATACATCATACAACACAAGTGATCTCAGCAGTACAACGTATTTGATTTCTTTTACATGTTTGCTAGTAAAATGAATGGATGATGTTTTGCTGCACTCCGACAGGTTTCTATTTAAAATATTATAGAAGTCCAAGACACACACTGGTAGAAGGGATAACAAAAGATCCATTTCTAAGAGAAAACAAACTTGCAGCACACAACACTCATTTGTTTTATCCAGCCATCCAGCACCTAGCAGAAATCAGAAGACTGCTGGCTGTCTATAATTAGCACTCACTCTCTATTAACAGAATAGGCCTTACAATAATGTTGATAAAATCAAAATAGATAAAGGTAGACAAAGGTATCAGACAGAACTCTGCATTGTTTTATGAGACGTTTAGAAATATCAAGGTAAACTGAAATTAGACTAGGTTTCTTGATTCTTTAAATCTGTGTGTGAAATACCCTTCTTGACAGGATGCAGAACATCTATTGTTTATTCTGAATTTCTTTCTTCCCCTTCCAAGCGATACTGAAAGCAACACAAGTGGAACTCTTCCATAAATTGTGTCCTAATCAAAATACTTATTAAACCTCTGCTATGGGAAGGTTAGATGCTTCTTAGGAAGAGATTAGCTTATAATTCTGGGCTAAACCTGTATGCTCCCAAAATTAATGGAAAAAGATAAATCAATAAAACAGTGTAACAGCTGACTTCATATTATGATCAAGCTGCTGAGGTTTTATGCAATAGAACCTAGCAAGCTTAAATCTCCTTTTTATACTTTTTTGCTCTATCACTAAAATTGTATTCCGGTCAAAAGACAGTTTGTAGCTTATAAATAATAATGTCATTCAATTTGTCTTGTCAAGAAGCTAAGGTTTTAAAATCCACTTTGCGAGACACTGAATGAATTAGTGAAAGTTATCTAATGCACTCAAACCTTGGTAGGCATACAAGGGCCAAGAAGCACCACCTCAGGTAGAGGAAAGTGTGCAGTACTTAATTTGCAAGCTCTCCTGTTGGATTGTTGTGCTGTCAGCTGCACTGCTAAGGCTGTCTGCAGCTCTGTTTGTTATCAGGGCTAAGAAATCAAAGACTCTTTGTTTAGATCTGCTTTTGAGACCACTTGCCAACTGGTAAGATGACTTTTTTTATTCACTTCCAGTAAGAGTATTTATCTTAAAATGGACAATTTTATGAGTCCGTTTTAAAGTTATGACTGCCTAATTTTATAACACACCTTTCTAGACACTCTCTTGTTCTTCCTATGGTCATACACACACAGACACTGATCACTGCTTTCTACAGCAACAGGACAGAATGCTACAACTTGAATTGCTACAACTGACTTCTAGCATTTTAAGAACTTAAATGCTCGATACATCTCAAGAATCATCTAAAAGCATTCTATTTTTTCCAAACACCAAAACAGTAGCATACCAAATCCTATGAAAGAATATTGTGGAGTCAAGGGAATTAGCCTTGTTGCCAATCTGAAACATAAAGAAAATGGAGTTGTTATACTTTTAATTGCCTTACCTGGCATTCCATGGATAAGGTCTCCGCACAGCACAAAGAACTTGGGTTTAGGGTTTAGTTTGTTAACAGCCTGCACTGCTTGCTCTGTTAACTTGATTTCTTCTTTCCATTCATCATCTCCGTTGTTAGTGTCTCCAACTGCCCAAGATTTTATCAGTCCAAACTGAGGATCTGCTCCTTGGATGAAGTAGAAAGGTCCCTTCCATTCATACTCATCATCTAAAAATACAGGGAAAAAAAAGTGAAGTACTAGAGAAACTTATAAAGAGAATGAAAAGTTCTATGCCTCATTAAATTGCTTGCTCTTCACTTATTTGAGTCCACTTTCATGAAAGTATAGAACTCTGTAGTCATTCATATAGGACAAATATAAAGGCATTCATATAGGACAAATATAAAGGCAGAATTGCAAAATTTTCCTGTAAGTCATAGCTGCAATAAATGAAAGTACATTAATCTAATTATACCACATGGTAATTGCAGACTGATTAGAGGAAAAGTATGTGAAAAATTTTGCAAATAGTGCTGGAAATTGCAAGAGTACAACAGAGCACAAGTGTGTAACATTACATTTCAGTAGATTCTTTTATTGCTCCTTTAATTAACAAGTTAAAACATACACAACACATTCCACATTTTATGGCTCCATTAAACTTGTCCTTAAATTATTATTGAGTTAAATACTATTTGCAATACATTCTCTGGAGTTAGGGCTAATGCCACCAAACAGAACCAAGGTCAGCAAACACAAATCCCAGCAACATCAGAATTAGCAGCAATAATGGAAAACCTAATTTGAAACTGCCACAATAGCTTCCAAGAACCATGATAAAAAGGTGGGAACTCAAAACAAAACAACAAATTTCCATTGGTAGAGTGAGTGCAGATGGATTATACTACTGAATTTGTACTGCTACAATTTTCTTGTATACTTGTTTCTTTGATACTCCAATACCGACTAGCACAAAAGAACTATGATACATAAAACTGCCTGTAAGCACGTTATGAAAAAACGTCACAGTGAGAAACTAAAGCTATAGCTTGATTCTGATTTAAAACAAAAATTGGTATCATGTCCCTAGACTTATATCTCAATTCTGAATTAAAGCACAAACACAAGTACATTGGGGTTTTTCTATCTGTCTAAAGACATTCGTGACCCAAAAATTTCAGTTTGGGCAGCTGGGTCTGGCTTTCTCACTTTTATGCTTGTTATGAACACGTCTAACTCCTATTTTGTTTAAAACACTTAGTTTTATTGTTTTTTTTTTTTTTTTTTTCAGCATTTCAACCATCAGAAAGTCTGTGACTATATCAATCTATAGTTGAATGTAAAAAATGATACAGCATATTATTTCAAATTAAAATACAATAGATAAGTACGTTCCCAAATTGTGTTTGCCTGATCTAATGTATAGTTTGAAGCAGTTCTAGATTTATCCCTCACTAGCAGCATATAAGCAAGTAGCATGTCTACCACATGGATTCACTTCTTGTTTTCTTTCAAGCGGCCTAGTACTGGACCTTCTTACTTTCTAAGAAGAGGGGTATGTTTTTTTCAAGGAAGGTTGGAAAGCAGGGATTATAATTCATCTGCACCATGGATATAGAAAGACTGGGGTGGCTAAAAAGGAATGTGGGCAAGTCCCCAAAGCTGCTTGTAATTGTCATCTGTTGCTATGGCATCAGATCATTTTGCCAAATGCAAACTTCTACATTTTGGTTAACGTAACATTTAATTTCTAAACAAAATTACTTATCCATTAACATTGTTTGTTAATTCATGCTAGCATTGCCTTGTTCTAAATAATAATCATATTTTATAGATAGAACTCTGAGCCATTTATTAGCTTTTAATTCTGAAATGAAATGAACTCTTCCAATTACATAACTTATTCAGAGAAGTGAAATGATCCATCTATCCACGAGTTTTCAATAGAAGCCTTATGGAACCAGCTGAATGACACGAAGTAATTTAGGTTTTTATTGTGTGTCTTGCATGGAAAATGAAAAATACGACTGCCATAAAAATCAGCTTACGTGCTGTATCAAAGGCATTGTTTGGGCAGAGAAATCACCTCATAGTTTTTCTAAGTAGAAAGTTATAAAGAAATGAGTTACGGAGGCTTGCATCAGAAATTCTTTATGACCTATACAAAGGAAGGCTGAAAAGAGAAAGTCTGAAATGGGAGCTTGTTATGGAGGAGTGCTACAACCTCACACTCACTAAACTGATGCTCAGGAAAAAAGCTTTAGTCTTTGAGCAATGTGGTGGGATCCTTAACACCTGTCCCTTTTCCAGTAACTTGGGAGCCAGCACTGATCATGGATGCTGAGCAAAATCGACTTATTTTGCACTGATTAACCTGAAGCCAGTTCTACAATAGCTACCTAAGCCAACAAAGAGACATCTATCTATCTTCACAGGACACCGCTTAGAAAAGCTAATCTAATCAGTAAAGGACTGGGTTTCACTGGTGGACGCACCATGCTTCCCCTGCTCAAGCTGTGCGGTGGAGAGTGGTGGCGAGGGCGGCTGTACAGCTGCATCATGCAAGGCAGCAGGTTTGGACCTGGTCCCACGTACCGAGGAGGTTCACGTACACTGCCTGGGCAGAGGGAAGCCTGGCAAGCGGACAGCGTGCTGCCGGGGAGGCTGCAGAGCTGGAGCTAAACTGGCTGCAAGGCCAGAGCAGGGGCTATTCTCATTTCACGGCATTCTTTTCCCCTGCCTTACATCTGTGCCAATACAGTAGCTCTCTAGGTTTTAGGTACCTGAATGTTTCCAAGCCTGTGCACAGATGCTCTGGTTTGAGTGGGTGGGTGACGGTCATGTGAGGCAGAGGGAGAGAGAGACTGATAAGATGAATTTGTAAAGAGAAGTTCAGCACACAGACAGAACCAAGAAGTGGCAGAAGAAAGGAGAAGCAGAAGATGCAGAGGTGGAGGTGAAGAAGAGTGGGGAGAAAAGGAAAGAGATAGGGGGTGAAAAGAGAAAAACTGAAATTGATGCAGAGGTAATATACGCCACAGTTGCCTGTGGGAAAGAAAAAAAGACAAAAAGGAATCAAATTTAGAAAATGAAGCTGGGACAACAGGAAAGATACAGGAATCTAGTCTACACAAATAACATCTACTTAAAATGTTAGTTTAATTAACTGGTCTTAGTTGAATTTAGTTGAAAGTTCTTTTTTTGGTATTTGACAATTTAATAAATAGTTACAAAATATCAGTGAGGTTGAATAAACTTTACCTTCTTGCTATTTGATTGCTAGAAACCTAACTTTAAAAAAATCCTAGCAGTATTTAAACCAGGTTGCATTAGCTTATCAGTTATCATGTGGCACTATCAATTTAGTTTAGTAGTTACTGACTTTCATCCCCACATAAAAAACACTGAAGAATGTGTGCAAACAAAAGAATACAGGGACACCCACTTTAGGTTTTTGTTTATCAGGAACATGTTTCAGTTACTATAAAGCACTATGTTCCAGTTACTATCAAGTACTACGATTGAAATATTCTGCTTTTAGAGTTGTACTGGTACAACAGCACTGGTGTAGATTTGCATGTGCACCAAGCCTTAAGCCCTAGCTGGAACTATCTCCTCCAGGAAATAACTCTTAACTGCCCTCACTGCAGCTTGCACAGCAGTTCACACAGGTTTCTCTGCATCAGTGCAAGGCAAAACATCAGTCCGGTTAAACTAAGTTGTTGCTACTGGTGCAACTTGGCTGATTTGGCTTAAAACCCCAGTAGCACTCCTGCACAAGTGCTCTTACAACAGACCAACATGGTAAGAGGAACAGAATACATGGCATTTAGGAACAGAATACAAAAGCATCTTCCACTACCATGGCTGGATCCAGTAGTCTTCTGCCCTCCAATTACATAATTTATTGATAGACTTCAATCTGTGTTCAGACTGTTACTAGCAAATCTTCATGCCCTGCTTCTCCCTCACCAGGCTCGTTTGCACCTCCAGCAGAGCAGGTGTACATAAGCCATGCAAATGACCCTCAGCTGCTCAAGTGGTAAGAGAGGCACCCCAGAAGGCCGCTTGGACCTGTTTGTTGGGCTATGCAGTGGATCACAAGAGTGCTCAGACAAACCACCCTGTTGGTATGCCAGGGGAATGCGGAAGTCTGGCAGAAGGTTAGTAACAAACAGCTGTTTTTGCAGTGATCATCCAGTCATGATCCAGGTCCTCGATGTTTCTCCGTAAGGTTCCAATTAAAGAGCATGTGCAGTTGCTATCTTCCCTTCAAATGCAGCAAGCAATGGCTTTTATGTGAATGACATCAAAGGCATCCTTCTGGCTAGGAGGTTCAATTTTCAAATCCACAGGGAGTCCATTTTTCAAGCCTTTAAATAAGCTACATAGTTGCATTAGACAAAAGTAAAGCATTAAAAGACAGACTCAATTAGTAAATATTTTTTTTTTTTGCCTTTTCCCTTGCATCACGAAACTGAACAGAGCTGAGAACACCTGAAAACTGGTTCTTTATCACTACTGGCACAGAGGTCATTTATGACTTTTTGAAATTACCACAGCAATCAAAAAACACAAATGCCAGACAGAAGTCAGCAGATTTCTCAGACAAGTGATGTACGTAGGGCTTCCATTTCTGAAGGGCAAATAAGGTCTGCAGAGCTGCTCCAACAGCGCCCACAAGGCTCCTATTCCAAATCTGTTTTGTTCGCAGGCCTCCTTAAGAGCCGTACAGCCGATCGCCACAGGAGAAGTCCAACTTCCGAACATGTTGCTATGCCTCAGTTTTGGTAACTTCCCACTCTTACTCTGCTCCCATGCACGCCAAAGTACAGAGAGAAGATCAATGCAATGTATTTTAAGTAGCACGGGCTGAAAAATGGTGCCAGCTTCTAATTATATCTAAGGATTAATTCTGTGAAGGGCCAGAGCAGTTGGCAGCATACGCAGGAGAAAACCTGGGTGGTGCAGTGATCACACACAAGAAGATTTCAGTGACCTAGGTGGGATTTAAGTCAAACCTCACCATTTCTAGGGAACAACAGCAATTATTGTCACGTGCCTTTATTTCTTCGTTTTTTATTCTAATTTCTCCTCAGACTACGAAGGCTGAGGAGACCACTAGAGCACTGCATGCAGGCCTGCAACAGCCCTGTAGCATTGGTGGCACTTCCAGCATTTCACTGGTGGGACCATCAACAGAACAAGCTCTGGATTGGAGGTTGCT